CTCGATGGGTTTTGGGAGCGCCAAGGACCGAGGAGAGCCGGAGGAGCCCGGACCCAGGAGGGAGAGGCCCCGCGCCCCGAGCAGTGTGTGTTTGCCCCACAGCTGCCCAGGCAGTGGCCTGGACGTGTCCTGCCCCTCTGGCCTGCCCGTCTGCGCCCTGGGAGAGCCCCGCCAAGGAGGCCGGGCATCATCTGGGGCTGGCTGGCGGTGGAATTTCGCTTTGCCATGATCAGTTCACTGCTTCAGGAACCGATCATGGCAAAACAATGCTTTTTTAACAGCTGATTGGCAGTTTCAAAATGGTCACCCGCTGTTTTCTGGACGGATTCCTCGCTTAAGAGGCACCGAAAATGGCCGCCCCTATGGAGGATCTTCGCTGAACCATGAGTTTTTGCCCCATAGAAATGTATTAAACGGGGTTTAATGCATTCTTATGGGTTTTTGTTCCATTTAGCAATGTTTCCAGATAGCAACGTTAATCCTGGAACGGATTAACGTCGCTATGCAGGACACCACTGTGTTTTAATATTTTCAGACTGTGGATAAGTGAAACCATGGATACTGATCCCATGGATGTGGGGGTCCTACTGTACTCATAATCATCCCTATAGATATGTTCAGGAGGCCAGGAGACTCTTCAGAACAGCATGACTGGTGGTGCATTGGAAGATAGGGAAATTGTTCCCCCTCCTTTCTTTAGCAGCAGTTCCACTACATCAGTGATGCTTCTAGTCATAACAGGAGTTAATCGTTTAGAATCCAACCCTTTGTGTGCCAACCCTTTGTGTGCCAAGGTTGCAATTTAAATTTAAGAGTTCAATTTGAAAGTGATTCGAATGACCAATAATTATTTCTTTTTTTCTTTGTTTCCTTTATTTTTGTATTTCAAGATCGCCATTGAAACTGGGGAATGAAGGTTTAATTTCAGTACAATGTTTATTCATTTAACCTGGAAGGCTATTAAGTACAGCCACAGGTACAGTGGTGCCTCGCTTAACAATTGCCCCGCATTACGATGAATCCGCTTTACAACTATCTTTTTGCAATCACAATTGCGATTGCAAAACAATGGTCTAAATGGGGGAATTTCGCTTTGCGATGATCGGTTCCCTGCTTCGGGAACCGATTTTTGCTTTACGACTATCAAAAACAGCTGATCGTCGGGTTTTCAAAATGGCCATCGGGTGCTTAAAATGGCTCCCCGCTGTGTTTAGGGACGGATTCTTCACTATACAGGCACTGAAAATGGCCACCGTATGGAGGATCTTCGCTGGACGGTGAGTTTTTACCCCATTGGAACTCATTGAACAGGTTTCAGTGTGTTTCAGTGGGCTTTTTATTTTCACTTTACGATGTTTTCGCTTAATGGCGATTTTCCTGGAACAGATTATTATCGTCGTTAAGCGAGGCACCACTGTATTGAGTACATCCACAGAGATTCTTTCTAAAGTTTGTTACAAGTAACTCTGTGTATCAGTCTGAGCACAGGCGAAATATCCTCTTTGTTATACTTTGTAACAGACATCCCCTTTATTACACTTCAGCATAGTGCCTTGATCTGTACTGTTGTAACAGGTTTCTGATATGCACATTATAACATTGAAAGCCATAGCATGCCCCAGCCATGACATTTTCTTTAGAGTGCCAGAACGTGTTATCTGTGTTGTTTGATTCCTGAATGCTGGAGATTAATGGTGGTATATCATTTTCAAAGGCAGCTATTAGGAAGACACACTCCTGAGCTCATCATTACATATGTTAGTTCATTTGCAGTCATCAAATAAAATTATCCTGGTGGATGCATTTTTTTTCACTTTTGAATCTTGGCTTGTTTGGAAACCATAACCCTGGAGTCCATGTCTGGACATAATGCTAAGCAGACAGTATCTATTTTCCATAGAAGTAATTTTGTTAGACTTTTGCAGTAAAATAGGTTTCTGGTTTGTTTACTCTCATTAATGTGAGACATGAAATGCAAGTGAATTGGCTATGTGTACTAGATGTGTGTACTAGAATTTAAAATGTGTATGTAGTAAGCTAGGATTCATCTAATATTATGTGTGAATGGAGCCTATGTGTTTATCTGTGTTTTGGTGTGAGTTTGTATAATCAGAATTCTTCTGGAGTAGATTTGTTTTATTCTATAATATTTAACCATAAATTTTAATACTAAATTTTGCTGCTTTATGACCCATTATCTCACTTTTCATTGATATTTAAAATTATAACACATGCCAGGAATTCCATGAACTGGGATTAATTAGCATTGGTTGGGTGTCTTTTATAGTCACCAAGGAAGGGCTGCTTCAGATGCTTTAACAGGTTTTTGCTTTACGAAATCATAAGGATCAATCTCCTCCTCACTTAATACTTCTTGCATAGCTAATTTTAATCGGTTCTTCTTTGTGGTCTCTATGAAATGGCACATAAGGGTTCCTTTCACACCTGCACAAATGACCTCAAAACTTTCCAGAACCTAAGGGAAATGTTAAGACATGCCCTCTCCACCATGTAGGTTCTCCACCCTGCTTTGCCATTTTTGCTTTTCTGTTGTGCTTGTCTTCCATCAGATTTGGAAGCACTCAGTGAATCTGTTTTCCTTTGTGTTCAGAGATATCTCATACCTGCAGCATGTTCTTTCATTACACAGTATTTGAACTATTTGATCTTTGTAGGAAAATCTGCATGTGAAGATCATGTGTGTAAACTCCTCACAAGCCGATACTTTTAGGGATCAGAGTTGTATAGCTGCTGTATTTTATGTTATTAAACCAGTCTTCTTTTTGTTTGATATTTACTTGTGTCCTCAGCTGAACATTGAACCACCAGAGGATCCTGAGGAAAGCCTGAGATTGCAGCAGTTGCAAGCAGCAGCAACACAGTGGCAGCAGCATCCACAGCAGCGAGTGGGTTTCCAGTATCAGAGAATCATGCAAAAGCATGCACAGTTGCAACAAATTCTCCATCGCTATCAACAAATTATGCAGCAGCCATCACACTTGCCAGTGAGTCATTGAGCCTTAATAATTAAGGGAGTAAAATTCAAGTCTATTTTGTTCAATTTCAGTAAAATGATTATAGTATTTCAATGGTAAGCATGTACAGTAGTTTAAACATTCTTTATTTATCTTCGTAGACCTTTGCTCACTGGCTAAGTACTAGCTTATTGTTCTCTTCTTCAGAAGTTCTCTTCTAGTTTTACTTGTAAAACTGTCGATGTGGGAACAGCCTCCATATGAGAAGAAATGGAAAACATTTGTTTGCCAACATCCTAGTTTGAAGTAGATTTTGTGGTTAAAATGCTTATTATTTTCAATGTTTCGATCATGCTCTATGGTTAGAATTTCACAGAGGATAAATATTTGATATTATGAGTGTAATATTTAGGGAGAGAAAAAGTATCAGATTTCAACACTCCAATGCATGGCTCCACTGTCAAAGCACAGTAGCTATTTCACTTAAGCTGTGTAATGTGTAAATTGTTTGTAAATCTTTTTTTTACTACGTTGACATATTAGGCAATGGCCATACTGCACTTTTCAACCATTGTGGCTATAACCTGTGCCTCTACAGTGAGATAACTTACAATATATTCATTATTGCTTTGACCTTTTGGCAGACAATGTCAGTGGAGATGCAGCTACAGCACTATGAGACCCAGGAGAAACTGTTTCAGCCACTTTTCAAAGAGTGGGAACGTGAATTTCAGCAGTGGCAGGATCAACTTCACTCCTATCCTCACAAAGACCAACTTCATGAATGTGAGAAACAGTGGAAGATGTGGCAGGAACAAATGAAAGCTACTCACACTCACCTCCAGGAAAAAGTGAAGTCTCTTCGCAACATGAGCAGCCCGTATACTGGGAGTACAACCTTGCCACCTCCATTTTCTCCATATTCACAAACAGTGCAAGGTGGTGTGCCTGTCATGCCATCTACTTTGCCCTTGACCACACATCCTCCAACATCCACTGGATTCTCTTCTGAGTCTCACACATCTGATATGCCTGTTCCAAACGAGTCTGGTCCTCAGAGTATTCAGGCCACTGAAACAAGGTCAACTGCATTTTCGGCTCCTGATTCTTTTAAATTTAAAGCTACTGAACCACTTCGTGCTGCCCAGACTACAGAGATGATGAGACCAGCTCTCCTTCCTACCCCTTCTTCTTTTACATTCAAATCAACTGAGCTGCCAGCCAACTCCCAGACTGTGGAGACAACCAGGCCGGCTTTATTTCCTCCTCCTCCTCCTAGTTCTTTTTCATTTAATGCTACTGACTCACTTCCCCCATCTCAGGCTACAGAGGCGGCCAAGCCAGGTCTACTTCCTACCCCCACCTCTTCCTTTTCATTTAAAGTGAGTGAACCTCCGGTCACTACTCAGTCCATGGAGACAACTAGGCCAGCTCTGCTTCCTACCCCTACCCATTCTTCTTTTTCTTATAAAAACACCGATTCCTCTGCCACCTCTCAGGCCATTGAGGCAACCAGACCTCCTCTGCTACCCACCCCTACTGCTTCATCCTTTTCATTTAAAGTTTCTGATTCGTCCACGAGCTCCCATGCCACTGAGGCGTCCAGACCAGCTCTTCTTCCTACTCCTTTCTCTGCTTCTTTTGCTTATAAAAATACGGAGACCTCGGCTGCTTTGCCTTACCACTCAAAAGGAATGGCACCTGCTAGCTCTTCAGAGCAAGGCATTCCTCTAGGCAAAGAGGAAATATCATTTGGTTCATCTGAACTAACGTCTGTTGAAGCAAAGCCCCATTCTGCGGTGTCGTCATCTGTAGCCACGGCCACCACCACCACCACCACCACTAGCTATCAGAACAGACAAGCAAGAGCAGCTGGCTTTTCTGATTCCCCCAGAGGATACTATGAAGGTCCAAGGGGCCCAAGGTAGGTTTTCTTTCTCTTTCATTGTATGATAACATTAGGTCAAGTCAGAATCACAACAGAGGAACAACAGTGATGAAGCTCCACAAGAAAATACTAATAAGCAAACACTGTTGTACCAAAATACATGTTATACACAAAGAAGTTATATCTATACATGGTTATGCTGCCAATTACAAAAATATGCACAAATATGCAGGACTAGTGCTTACTGTGCTAGGCTTGTATGTAGGAAGTTATATGTAGCAAAAAAAGAAGAACAGGTATGTGTATTTAAAAATAAAAAATGGTTTGGATAACGTGGCATGGTGCAAATATTGTACATTAGTAGGTGTGCATAGTTGGATATACAACAAAGATTTTTGCTTGTCATATTCTAGGACAAGGTGTGAAAAGCACATATTAGGAGGTATATACTCTGTGTGATGGGTGTTTGTAAATCAGACTGTGTGTACCTATGGATACATAGCATTTGTACCTTGCCACTTACGTAGGCCATTTATTATTTTAAAAAACATGCACCTGTAATTTTTTGTTAGATAAAATATATTTCTCTCTCTATAGGTCTGAGGTCAGAAATATGCTAGCATATTTGTACATGTAATTTCATACTTGCTTCTCATTTGTATTACAAAAGTAGAAAGACTCTTGGTACTTGCATGATCATTATTACTTCCCCATTAGTATTCCAGTTTCATCATATACTTACTTACCACGCTTCAATTCTGTGTATCTCAAGCATAATTCCAGAATAATTTAGAAGCTTCCAAAGCCATCCATATCTCTACATGTTAATTCTTTTGATGAAGGATGGTACTTAAAGTAAAGCTGTGTAGAACACAACTGAGAACTAGAATTCTCCAATGAAGAATATGAGAGTCATGTGTTAGAACTGTTTATTTGGGACTGCACAAAAGCTCTATGATAATGGGTTGAAAGGCCAGTTTATATACCACTGAAGCAGCATTTGTTCAACCTTTCACATGCTTGCCAATTCCCCCAACATGTTATTACACAATGCAGCAAACAGACATAATAGGGGAAAGTAGCCAGAGGTTTCCCTGTAAAGACTCTTGATTGTGGGAAGGTTAAGCTCCCGCTTCCAGCCACTGAACTGCAGCTGTTAATTGAAGGCCCCGGTTCCCATGCTCAGATATGCTGCCAGTAGTATAGATGTTGTCTCAGAGTTCATTAACAACCAAATGGATTAACAGCAACTGAACCCAGCTACTGTGTTTTAGTATCATATCCCCTGCTCCTTTTTACCATGATGCATGTATCATGGAGGAATGCAGCTGGGTGAAGTGGCTGGCAGCTGAATGGTCCGATATCTTGCTCCTACATATAGTGAGCACATCTTTTAAAAAAAGTAGCAACTATTATACTGTTTGGTAGTTAATATATCAAAATCCTAAAAAGGCCAATCGAAACAAAATACAGTGGTGCCTTGCTTAACGATTACCTCATTAAACAATGAATCTGCTTTACGATATTTTTTGCAACCGCTATTGCGATCGCAAAACAATGTTCCTGTGGGAAAAACCACTTTACGATGATCGGTTCCCTGCTTCGGGAACCGATTCTTCACATTACGATGATCTAAAAACAACTGATCATCGGGTTTCAAAATGGCTCCCCGCTGTGTTAAGGACGGATTCCTCGCTATACAGGCACCAGAAAATGGCCGCCCTATGGAGGATCTTCGCTGCACAATGAGGTATTTCACCCATTGGAACGCATTGAAACGGTTTTCAATGCATTTCAATGGGTTTTTTAATTTCACTTGACAAGGATTTCGCTTAACAACGATTTTAACAGAGCGGATTATCCTCGTCAAGCGAGGCACCACTGTAGTCTTTTTTTCACCAAAAAGCAACAAAAGTCAATATTTTGTACATATTTTGATGTTTACTATGAAAAAAGAAAGTAAACAAGTATCAGATATTATCTTTTACATTGTTACTTGTTGCCCATAGACATCCATACCATTCTAAGGAAGACATGATAAAAATTATTGGTTTCTAGGGATAAAATTCTGGTTTCTGCTTTACCTTTTCCCTTTGGCATTTCTCACATACTATATAAACTTCTGATATGCTGTATAACATGTTTAAACATTGCAACTCATGAGCAGGTAGTTAGAGTTCATCTCTTCAGTGTTACATGTAGAAATCTGAATAAAGTACTGAATGGTTACTGATAGATTCAGAAAGCACTGTAGAGACGTAGTGCTCCTTATATGCTGTGGCATATTAGACATTTAACCAACGTATGTTATTTTGTTTTTTGTCATGTGCTTCTGAGTTCCAGAACTGTAGTCAGAAGGATATTATGGTTAGTGTTACTGAACATGCTGAGATTTTTAACAGAACCAATAGGAAATGAGTGACCAAAGCTCTGTTACTGCCAAAATCAGGCCTAAATTGGGTCTAGATCAGTGATTCCCAACTTTGGATCCCCAGATGTTCTTGGACAACAATTCCCAGAAATACTGGCTAGCACAGCTTGTGGAGGAGGCATCTGGGAGTTTTAGTCCAAGAATATCTGCAGACCCAAGGTTGGGAACCACTGGTCCAAATAATTCATTTCATCCAAGAGATCCTGTGGTGCAGTGCTGTATGACCTCAGGAGACGTGGCTCTTTACCCAAGCTTTTCATATTCTTGCCCCTGCTCAACTTTTAACCTTTGCTCTCTGTAACTTTTGATGACCTGTGATGCTATAGGTTTATTGTTTGGTGTTGCTGCCCCCCCTTTTTTGTAGTATAGAATTTATTACATATTTATTTAGGTCAGGAGGGTTTTATGTCTAATGTTTAATCAGTGGCATTTTTAAATTTTAGTATATGTTTATACGATTGATCTGATTGTAAGGTGTAGGGTGGATGGATTGGTGGATACATGCACGCATGCATGCATGCATGCATGCATGCATGCATGCATACATACATACATACATACATACATACATACATACATACATACATATCTTGTTGAAAACTGTTAAATTGGAAATTTAGGGAGGACTTTATCTATCTACACACACACATATGTATATGTATATCGGGTGGAAAGAGCAGGATTGAAATGTGCATGTGATTGATTTCACATCGCAAAAAGCCTTATTTTGAGACTAGCGATTACAATCGATCCATTCCATGAGGATAAGAAAGCATCATTCAAAGGCAGATATTCAAAATTAACCATTATTTTAGTTTAATTTGTTTTTAATGTGCAGTCTGCTGTGTTTTTTAATTTTTCATCTTTTAACATTGTGATCTGCCTTAATTCTCCTCCTCAGGAGAAAGGCCACCTACAAATGAGACAAAATAAATAAAATAAATGAATAAAACTTACGATCTAATTTGTTGTTTTCAGCTTATAATGTAAGAAATGCGTTGTAAAAATCCATATTGTTTCATGAAATTCCAGGCTCCTAGAATTTCTTCAACCTGGTGTGGTAAATACTGTATTCTTAATGTGGAATGAGAGGGAGTGAGTCAGGCTGAGATACATATCCCTGTGCAATGACTTAATGAAATGCTGCACTTATTTGCACCCAAGGTCTTGTATGTAGAAGAACATGATATTCTACTGGGTCAAATACAGTGGACCCTCGATTTACGGAATTAATCCGTATTGGAATGGTGGCTGCAGGTCGAAAAGTCTGTAGGTCAAGTCTCCATTGACCTACAAGGCATTGAAAACTAATTAATCCGTAACTGGCCATTTTTTGTTCCATTTTGGGTTTTTTTCTGGTCTGTAGGTCGATTCTCCGGCTGCAAGTTGAACCTAAATTTTGCGGCCAGGGAAGTCTGTAACTCGAAAAGTATGTAAGTGGAGCCATCTGTAAGTCGAGGGTCCACTGTATTATTATTTTTATCCAGTAGTGGGGAAAGTTGGAAAAGATTAGGCATGGGTAGACTATGCCTCTTGTACTACTTTTCAGAACTTAATGATGATTGTTAAGATTCTTACTTAGTATAGCATACTAGTCTGAGTATACTGTATGGTTATTATAGTTTATGTTTTATAACAGAGGTTGGCAGTGGAATCCATTCTCATATCGCCTGTTGTGTAGTTACATCTATTTGTGTGGTTAATTTTGAGGTCATTACTACTTCGTGAGGATTTAAGCTTCCCCTGGAAAAGGGGGTTGATGGGATTGCTTCATGGGTACAGCTCACCAAATTCTTTCTGCATGCACAGATTTGATGGACCACGAGGAAGAGGCTTTGAGAGGTCTGAGCCACCAAGACATAGAGGGCCTCATTTCCAGGGCCAGCATTTAGACGGTCCAAGGCCAAGACTTCAAAATCAGCATATGGATGGATCTTCAAGCAAACAGGGGACAATCCCCCGGGGGCCAGCAGCAGCATTTTATACTCCTTCAGGTGTATCACAAATGCAGATGTCTCAGGCTGGTGGACCACGGTGGCGGGGGCCTAGACCTCCTTTGGGACAAAATCATCAAGCAGAAAACAAAGAATCTTTTACTGAAATGGCCAGCAATCAGACAGCAGCAAATAAGTCTAAATTTACATTGGATACAAAAGATTCTGGTCCAGTTCAGCCAGATAAGGGCTTGTCTAAAGCACAGCAAAATATACCCAGGAAAGAGGATGTGGAAATAATGTCAGAAGCAAAGAAACAGAGTTCAACTGAATGTGCATTGCAGACAGATGGGTCAAATACGTCTACTCGTACTTCATCTGCTCCACATCAGACATCTGTTTCCATTCTTCCTCCAGAACCGGGTGGAAAAAAGACATTGCTACCGTCACCAGCGACTGGAAATAAAGACTTGAACTCTGCAGAAAATACACTAATTTCTTCAGAGAATAACCAAAACAAAGATCAGTCTAAACTGGAAATCAGGGAGAGGGGACAAATTAAACCTGGAGATAATCAGCCAAAAGGACCTGCTGGCAGAGGCAGAGGCCAGGGTAGAATGGAAGATACTAGGGGTAGGGGACGAGGCCGATTTGATGATGCCAGGGGGAGGGGAATAACCAGCAGAGGTAGAGGCCAGGCTAGAGATCTGGGTGGCAGAGATATAAGCAGTGGGCGAGGAATTCATGATAACTTGTTGGAGGAACAGACAGAAAGCTGGGAATCTGGAATGGGTGGGCAGTCTTGTGACCAAGAAAGGGCTTTGGGTAGGCAGCCAAGCAGCCAGGAGAGAATGCTACCTGGCCCTTGGATGGGCAGTAGAGACAGAGGCCGTGCAAATAGCCGGGAAACAGGCCCTGTCAGGCCTATGGGTGGTCAGGAGAGGGGATTAGACCAACAAACCTTTAACCGAGAAAGGGGCCCAGGTCAGCAAGGTAGTAGCTGGGAGAGAGAGCCAATTAGGAGGCCTAGTAGCTGGGAGAGGGATGTACACAGGCATGATCCAGGGCAGGGAGGTAGTATGGAAAATGTGCTTCCATTTCATGAAGAACCACACAGGCCTCCATGGGCTTATGGAGATGTGGGAATGGAAGAGGAGCATTCTTTTGAATACAGAGATGCTCCTCCCCTAGAGCGCAGATGTTTGGAGGACTGGGAAAGAGAGAGATACTGGCATGAGCGTGAGCAAAGGTATCAAGATGATTCTCTTGATCACTATGAGAGAGATGACATGTTGCCACGCTGTCATCCGTGCCCCCCTCTTTCTCCTCTCCCTCCTCTCCCTCCCTTACCTCCCTTGTCTGCTGATCTTGACAGACGGGACCCATATTGGGATGACTGGGAAAGGCCAATCGGTAGAGACAGAGAGATGGACAGAGATCTAGACCGTTCCAGAAGACCCTTGGATGCATATGATCATGAATTTGAAAGAGATTGGGACAGGGATTATGTACGACCACTGGATAGAGATACAGCAAGTAGTGATCTAGACATACCTCCTCTGCCACCTTTGCCTCCCCTTCCTCCCCTTCCTCCTTTAGACAGATATCGTGAGGATCGATGGCTGGATGAGAGAGAAAGAGATTTTTATGACAGAGATTCAAGAGACAGGGGAGAGCTCAGAATTCGAGAATATCCAGAGAGAAGTGATACATGGAGGGAACAGTCTGATTTCCCACCTGACAGGGGTGATTGGGAGAGGGAAAGGTTTTCAGATAGATGGTATCCAGATGATGTGGATAGATACCCACCTTTGGAAGATGAACTGGAACCACCACCTATGCCACCACGGTCTGGATTTTTGGGAGAAGAGCAAAATGTAGCCTCTGAGCAGTCATTAGGAGGAGTAATGGTTCTTAGTCAAAGGCAACATGAAATCATCTTGAAGGCTGCCCAAGAGTTAAAAATGCTACGGTGAGTTGGCCACAGTGCTTCTTTAAGTCATAAAAGTCTTACTTTTTTGTTCCCCCTCCATCCTTTGCATAACACTGTAACAATATATGCATCTAGCTGTCAGATATCTATAAATATTTTTATTACCTTGGATGTAAGGGCAACACATACAGGGCCGATTTTCTTGAATCTTTAATCACTGAGATAAGGCTATGCTCATTATGACAGTATTTTTACTGTGTCCTAAACAAATAAACATTAAAAAATGTTTTCTAAAAGTGACAAATACTTAAAAATTGTGAGCAAAACAAATGATTGGGAGAAGAAATTCAGATAATATAGCTGGTTGGAATAGCTCTTACCCTTGAATCCAAAGAAGCAGGTGGTTTAATGAATCTAGGTGATGTGAAAGAAATCTTGCTTATGAAGACCTCTTGCATTTTTATAAAGAATCCAGATATAGAAATTAATAGAAGGAAAAGATGGAAGCAAAATTGTTGCTTGCTGACCCTCAATAGAAAGGTTGTTACTACATTTCCTGATCCAGTCGGAGCACTTATAAAATTTTGAACTGGAAGGATTTGGAGAAAAGTTTTTCCTTCCATTAACAGTTGCCAGGACCTTCAGCAGATAACTACCACCCATGTGTGTTCTGACAGTCAGGCACCCAAACATAAAAGCACACTTTCTGCACAAATAAAGCAGACTGTTAAGCCAGGCTTTTTCTTAGTGTCTAGGAGACAATAAATAGGAAGGTTTATATTTTGTTGCTTCTAAATCTGCTTTTAGTAATGCTTTTACCTAACATATTAAATGTTATTAATTGTTTTTAAATATTTCAGTAATTTACTAGTATTTGCTTTTAATGTTGTGTTTTTTGGGGGGGACGTAAGCTGCCTTGGGTCCTTTTTTAGGAGAAAAGTGGGGTAAGAATATTTTAAATGAATAAATAAACATTACCCAGAAGACCGGTTAGCCATTCAGTTCCATGAATACATTCAATGTTAGGTTTTCAGGCTGTGCACATAACTGTCAAACAGTTTAAATCACATACTTTGTACGTAGCCATCTTAGGTGCATTCCCTCATTCCAAGTAGTGTTGGGAATTATTCTTACCTGAAACCCTGAAGAACCACTGCCGGTTAATTTAGACAGCTGAGGTAGATGTAAAAATGCCCTGATGTGGTATAAAGAGATAGAAGATTACCTGCTGCCAGATCCTCAGTGGTGAACTTCTCGAAATACTGAGCTAGGAAAGTTGCATTTTGACCTGGAAGTTTTTCAGTCAGAAGAAAGAGATTTTGTTCTCTCCTATTGCCAAGATGAATCATTTGAACAGTGATTAAACAGATACATCTTTGGAGCTAAATGCTATCTGTAAGGTACCAGTTGCCCATTTGTGGGTTAACTGAAATACTAAATTTGGTTGGTGGAATTGCTTTATTTTAAAAATGTATAAACTTATTCCCTTGCCAAATAACAGTGTAGCTAACACTATTAAGACAATATAGCAACAAATCAAAACAAACTGTTGGTAGGAAAAAACAGCTAGAACACAAGCAGCAAAAATCAGCAAAAATTAAACAATAATCCAAACAGAACAAGAAAAAACAAATAGGTTGAAATGAAAACAGTAGCAGATTTGAAACAAATCAGCCTTACAAAGTAGCCTGTTTTTTAGTTTCTGGTTGAAACTGTATAGGTTCTGAGCCTCCCAGGCTTCCATGGAGAAGAGACTCCTTGTTGTTGTTTTCGGTTAGGTTTGCAGACTATTTGGCCATGTTCTGAAGGTTTTTCTTCCTGATGGTGGGTGTCGTTACCTAGTCTTTCGTGTGTAGTGATTACCGGTCCTTGTGGCTGGGTAGAGTTTATTGACCTTTTGTAGGCTTTATTTTTCAGTGCTAGGAGCCAGGCTTTGTTGAGTTTTAGACTTTCTTCTTTTTTGTTGAAGCTCTGCTGGTGTGTTTTTATTTTATTTTATTTTTGGATTTCAACGGCTTCCCTGTGCAGTCTAACATAATAATTGCTGGTGTTGTCCAGCACTTCAGTATTTTGAAACAGAATTTCATGTCCAGCATGTTTCAGGGCATGGTCAGCTGCTGCCAGTTTTTCTACCCAGCCACAAGGACTAGTGATCGTTGCACACAAAAGACTAGCTAACAACACCCATCAATCACAGTGACAGATCATCTCTCCCCTTATCACAACAATACACCCATAATAAAAAACACACTGATCATCATAATCACCCAATCTCATGAAAAGGACAAGAAGTTGACCCCACAGCTCCAGATATTCAACTACACTACACCAGAACACAGACAGGGTTCTAACTCCTGTCCTCTGAACAATCCAGCCACAGAGAGTGGTGAAACATTAGGAAGAAAAACCTTCTGAACATGGCCAAACAGTCTGAAAAACCTACAGTAACCATCAGATCCCGGCTGTGAAAGCCTTTGAGAATACAGACTTTTTATTGTACATATATGACTTAAAATATTTCCGATTTACTCCTATTGTTGGGCCTTAAAGGCATATTAGAAATTAATGATATCTTTTAACTCTGCAGAGAACAGAAGGAACACATGCAGCATATGAAAGATTTTGTTCCTGAACCACAAATACCAGAAATGCCACCTCAGGAAATGTCCAGATCACAAAGTACAGCTTCTAGGAAGGATGACTTTCAGGTAAATTAAAGATTGACTTGGAAATACTGTGTAAGTGCGACCTTTTGGTAATGTGCATGCTTCCTGGTTTGAAATCCTCTTCACCATTGAAAAGGTGTTAGGGACGGTGGGGTGGGAGGAGGAAGCATTTAATAACTGAAAATTGCTTCCAGCACGATAATTGCCAAAAAAAATCACCACTGGTTGGAATGGGAACTCACTGAGAAGAGGGTAATAGCTCTGCTTTTAATATCCTTGAAACCCCTATTTGAGTTTCAATAAGCTGTATGCAGCTTGATGACACATAAAAATGTGCCTTTTTCTCTTGCTCTGTCTCACTTCTCATTGACTGTCTTAAGAACTGTGCTACCATGAAACAAAAAGGTGTTAGATTGCAACCCCCATCATCTCTACTACAGCTGGTGCCTAGGGATGATGAACGCTGAAGTCCAAAACAGAACTTAGAAATACCAGCTGAAACCGTGTTCCATAGGTTGTCCCATGTAAGGCTGATGTCATCAGCTGCCGTTTCTTTTGGGTTTTTTTAAATAAAGCTTTTCTGATCCCACTCTTCTGAAGCTCCATAAGACCGCTTTAGTCATCAGGAAGCTGTTAGGAAAGTGGGTTCTTCTTCGTGTCCTCCATGAATCACACTCTGGGTGAGCTGCACATGCGCGGAGCCTCGTCAGAATATTCTAGAGCTTTTGTGGTAGCAAAATGATACATTAGTGCAGACCCCTCTCCCCAGTATATATACCTTGGCACCAAGGCTCTCCCTTCAGTTTCTTTTCAACTGCCACATTGAGAGCCTCAGTTGTTGCTTCTGTGAGTTTTTGCCTGAAAGTGAAGGTTATTTACGTTTTATTATTATTTCAAAATCTCTTTCGTTACCAATCTTTATTATTTCTTCCAAAGCAAGTTACGCTCTGGCTTTAGGGCCAAAGCACCTCCCCCCTTTTCCCAGTTTTTAGTTCATGGCCTCTTCAGGCCCATTTAAACGCTGCGTGGTCTGCAACAACAAAATCCCACTTGCTGATGGCCACGCTAAGTGCCTTTTTTGCCTTGGTGAGGCTCATCAAACTTCTTCCTGCCCTCACTGCAAAAACTTTAAGCACGGAGTTCTCTGCAGTCGCCTTTCTAGGCTCAAACTTCGACTTTGGGAGCAATCTCTCCAGCCTGCTGAGCCCATGGCTCTACTGTCCTGTAAAGCCATACCCCACGCTATAGCCATGGGTAAAGCCGTTTCCGAGGCAGCAAAACAATGTCCTTCGGCTACTCCATCTCATTCTGAACACACAGAACCTGCCATTCCCCCAATATTGACCACCATGCTGGCGCACAAAGCCAAATATTCAACATCAAAACCCTTGACGTTGAAAACAGCCTCCAGACGAAAACCGTCTACCTACGTTTCCTCGGCACCTGAACCTTCACCACCAAACAAGGCTAAGTCTTCAAAGTTGAAGCCCTCCAAAGCAGTCTCCACCCTGACTCCAAAACCACCAGAGTCCGGAGACCTCATCTGTTTTGGTTCTCTCTCAGATGATGAAGCACTTCCACTTCACCAGCTGTCACCATCGCAGTCTCCTGAATGGGAACAGCATATTGATCAACTCACAACTTCTCCTACAACAGATTTCGGGCTCTCCTAGTGAATCTTCACCAGTTGCTTCTCTGGACATCCACAGCACTGAAATGCAACTTGAAACTATGCCTTACTCTGTCTCAGTAGGCCTACCATGTCGGCCTCTGACACACCTACAGAGGGGGCAGTCCTAGAAAAGCATCAGCTTGCGTTCTTGCTCGAACATGGCTTAACCTCAGCACCATTATCAGGATGACTTTTGTCCCGATCAGTGCCTAAAAGAGAGACCCGCCAAGCACTATCGACCAGTTGTTTTTCCTGGTTGGACGGCATTGCCAAAGCATGCTATCCCCACACGGGAACCTTTGGTATCAAAGCGATTTTACTACCATGATCCCCCAGAGTTACCAGGCACCTCCTGTCAGTCAGCGCCCAAGAAACCTAGACGAGCTGACCAGCACTCTTCGGCTCTGGTTACTTTTGTGGCACCGGCAAGCTCCTATTTTCCATCCGGATGAACATGACCACTCATCAAGCTTGACGTCACCGGCGTCTGTCTATTCCATTGTCATCCAGTGTGGCCCATCAATGCCCTTGCCACTTCGGCAACCGTCTCAACACCAACAGCAACTTCCATATCGACACTAGCTCCGTACTGATTCCATTGATGTTGATGACTCTCGATATCGACCATTGTACATGGATCTACCTTTGATGTCAACAACAGTCAACAACCCTCGATATTGACCGCTGTCTACTGACACACCTTTGAAGTCGACAGCAATACTTTGAAGACCAACTCTTTGATGTTGATGTCGATCAACAGTTGGTCAGCTCATGGCACGACGCTGAACCACCTGATCACGGCCCCAGACCTGAAACACATCAGTACTTTTAACATCCCCAGACTTCGACCTAGCAGACACGGACACTCCACCACTAGCGGAAGACTTTCAAACCTAGGCTCCCCAGACCTACTACTGAGCCAGCAGATCACCTGTCTGATCCCATCTCTAAGGACACTACTACACCGGTCCATATCTCCATGCTTCCATCTCTCCTCAGCACAGCTAGGCGTACCTGGGCCAAACCAGCTTCATGACACACAGTGTCGAAATTCATCAACAACCTCTATCGAGTGCATGACCTTGATGCTATCTTTTTGCCAAAACAGTAGCTCCTAATTCCATCTTTGTCAAGGCTTCACAATCTTGTTCTCGACATTGACAGGTTCTGATACCACCTAATAAAGATAGCAGGCGCATTGACTCTATGGGTAGCTGGGTTCTGCTGCTTTTACGATGAGGGTTGGCAACTATCAAGGAGCTATGGGCACCTACCAATGCTTTCTTTGGGACAATATGTCTACCTTTGTGGATGGACTCCCTGAAGACAAAAGGATATTAGCCCAAACCTTTCAACAAGAAGGCCTCTCGGTAGCTAAACAACAGATGTTATATGCTAGGCACACCATCGATACCACATCAAAATCTATGCCTACCTCTGTAGCACTTAGACATTTTTCTTGGATTAGAACTGCTGGTCTCAACGAGGAAGCCTGTGCACGCATCAAAGACCTTCCTTTCAATGGCGTTGGTCTCTTCAATGCTGAAACAGATGACATTCTTGAGAATGTCCAGAAAAAGAGAACAGCCAGGTGTTGGGGTGTCTACCACACATACCAACAGCACCTTCGGCGCAGTCAGTAGCATCGCCCTTACACCTCTTATCAAGAGTTTCAACAAGAACCTCAGAGGCAAACATCCTACATGCCTTATTATAAACAACAGCCTTACCAAACAAAACCTCGACAGCAAACCACAACCAGGCACAGTGACTGCAAACTTAAGTATCAGGTTTGACATCCAATTGGCCGAGATCTCAACATAACCTCTCACACTTCCCCCTGCCCTCTAGAAGCACTTACCTGCCTGGAAAGAATCAGCATAGATGCCTGTGTCCTCTCCATCAGATGAAAGTGGTACCACATAGAATTCCACCAGCTGCCTCCACCATCACACACCGTCACACTTCCGTCGCAAACCCTACAGGACGAAAAACAGTCATTACTCAAAGACGTCATAGAACCAGTACACTACATCATACACTCAAAGATTTTTTCTCTTGACATTTCACTATCCCCCAGAAAAGACGGCGGCTTCAACCCTATCCTCAATCTCAGAGAACTAAACCGATGCATCATTACCGCCAAATTCCACATGGTTACTCTTGAATCCATCCTCCCACTACTCTGCAAAAAAGACTGGTTTGCAGTTATAGACCTCAGAGACGCCTACTTCCATGTGTCTATCCATCCATCTCACAGGCCTTATCTGTGCTTCCAACTCAGAACCCAGGCATATCAATTCAAATGGCTTCTGTTCGGGCTCGCAGCGGCCCCCCGGGTATTCACCAAATGCATGGCCCCAGTGGCAGCAAACCTCAGGCTTCACAAGATTTAAATTTTTTCATGCATCGACAACTGTCTTCTCGTAGTGCACTCCCATCACAAAGCACAGCGAGACATTCGCTTCACTTTATCTCTCCTCCAAGATCTCGGCCTTGCTGTTAATCGGCAAAAATTCAAGTTAACAAGACTAATCTATTATATAGGAACAGTTCCTCCCATTTATTTATTTATTTATTTAATTTATATGCCGCCCACACTACCCAAAGGTCTCAATGTCCTTGGCAGGTTCTTTGAGTGGATCTCTGTGATTCACACACCCCGGCCTGGCCTCCCCACTGTCACACCCTTTCTTTATGCAGCAGTTGAAATAACTGAAGGGAGAGCCTTGGCACCAAGGTACATATACCAGGGGGAGGGGTCTGCACTAAAGTATCTTTTTACTAATGCAGAAGCTCTAGAATATTCCAATGAGGCTCTGTGCATGCGCGTGTTGCCCAGAGTGTGAATCACAGAGGTCCACTCAAAGAACCTCAATTACAGGTAGGTAACCTGTCAATCAATAATGCTTTATTTTAATAAATAAATAAATGGGAGGAACTCTTTAATTACCAAAAATCAATGCTGCTAGGATGTCTTTACTTTTTAGATGATTAAAGACTTCTCCTTCTCGCCCTGTGGCCCCCAACAGTTTCCCGATGATGAAGGAGATTCCATGGGAGCCTGGGGATCTTCAGGGGAGAAACTGGAAATGTGATTTCTACACACACACAAAATCACTGTGGCTGATGATGTTGGTGATCTTACATGGTATAAATTACAGCATGAAAATTTGAGGCAGCAGGTCATTCTCTTTCTGGGAAGCCTTCTTTGATTTTTCACATAGTTCATTATACATTATTTCTATAATTTGTATTCTTATTTCCATTCAAAAAAGAAATCCAGGATGGTTCAAAATATAGCCCTTCCCCAAATTAAACAATTTAAATAAAGCATACTGCAGTGAAGAGTGTGAATAGTACTATACTCAGCAATGATTCCAGACTACTTTGCCCAAATGTAGCCCACTGAAAGTAGGTTTGATTTATTGTAGAAAAGAAGATCTATCTGTCTGTCTGTCTGTCTGACTATCTTGATTGATTGATTGAGTTTATATGCCACCCATTTAGATATAGTCTACTCTGGGCAGCTCACAAAAAGCAGAATAAAAACAATTAATATCAAATAACAATTTACAGCATTTACACAGAGCAAAGTAGATAAAGGTAGAGAAAAAGAGGAGGTTACGTAGTGCTCGAAGAAATGCCATGTACCGTGTTTCTCCAAAAATAAGGCAGGGCCTTATACAGTGGTGCCCCGCATAGTGATGATAATCCATTCCGAAAAAATCATCACTATACGGATTCGTCGCTATGCGGGGCAAAAAAGCCCATAGGAACGCATGAAAACACATTTAATGCGTTCCTATGGGCAAAAAACTCATTGTTCTGTGAAAATCCTCCATGCGGCCGCCATTTTCACTGCCCAGTAAGCAAGGAAAGGGAGCGAAAACACTGCGGGTGGCCATTTTCTTTACCCAGTGGCCATTTTGGAACCGCCGATGAGCTGCTTAAAGAACATCGTTATGCGATAATTGGTAAGCGAAACGCTTACCGATCATCGCAAAGTGATGTTTTCCCATCTAAAACATCGCAATGTGATCACAGAAGCGATCGCAAAAAACACATCGCTATGCGGAAACATCGCAATGTGATCACAGAAGCAATCGCAAAAAACACATCGCTATGCGGATTCGTCGTTAAACGAAGCGCTCATGCAGGGCACCACTGTATTAATTTTTGCTCTAAAAATTGCATTAGAGCTTATTTTCAGGGGCTGTTTTATTTCTTTCATGTACAGAAATCTACATTTATTCAAATACAGTTATGTCATCTTCTGGTTGCTGCACAATGGTGGCGGGCAGGCTTTCATTTAACTAGGGCTTATTTTTGAGGTAGGCCTTATATTACGAGCATCCTGAAAAATCATACTAGGGCTTGTTTTCAGGTTAGGTCTTATTTTCAGGGAAACAAAGTATGTAACTTTAAAATTACCTAAATGTTTACAAATAAAAGGTATACACCAAGTATGTTATATAAATAATTTCATTTTGGTTGTTCCATCTCTTTTTATATACTAAATTTTCACATGTTAGGACATGATCAAAGTACATTTTCATATGGGAGTATTGCTCTAGTGCATCTGTACAGTACAGATTGAGGAAAGCTGGTTTAATGTGAAACACATGAGCGAGAGCAAGCCATAGCGGGCCTCAGTCCTCTTTGCTCCCCAATTCCTTTTCTTCTTCTCAGGCAACCAAGAGACGTTTGGAACTTTTCATATCTATTTTTCATTAACCATAGCTTGCTATATTGCCTATATTTGAAGCTGCAGTTAATTAAACCAGCTATGGTTCATTTAAAACAAAACAGCTTCGGAGACCATGGTTTGAATCTGACTTGTTTACAAAGTAATCATGGTTAATGTTAATGTCAGTTTGTTGATTCAGGTAGCACAACAAACTGCATTTAATTAAAAGCAGAAGTTTCCAAATTCCCCTGAGAGGTAGAAGGAAGGGATGTTGCATTTCAATCCTGCTTGTATAAATTGTGTGAAACTATAATTTAGCCTGACAAACTGAAACGGCAGTGATCTTTGAACATTGTATTTTTCAGATCTTTTATTTACACGCTTTCTTCTGTTTAGGCCTCTTCTGTAAGGCAGACTGAAATACCAGTGGAAGAAGAACCTATTAAGCCTACTCCAGCTGTAATTATAAAGCCGCCAATATTGTTTCGAAAGCCTACCCCAGTTACTACAGTGGCAAAGCCTCCTGTCCCAACTATGAGACCACCTGTTCCATCAACAGCAGCTCCCCTCCCAACAGCAAAGCTACCTGCTCCATTAACACAAACAAGTATTACAGTTCCCATTTGTACTGCAGCACCCACACATGTTTCAGCTCCTGTAGTTAAGTCACTACCTGGCATGAGCCAAGAACGCTGGGATGAGGATTCTTTCCAGGGACTTTGGGACAGCAGTGAAGATAAAGGTTTAAAATCAGAGTATGACTTACCTGCATCCGATCCCTCATTGCCTTCATCAACAATCCCAACTTCTATTGTACCAGGAATGACACCACTTTCCAAGCCACCAGTAATTCATCAGACTGTTGATTATGGACATGGACATAGTCATGGTCAAGGTAAATACTGTTGATTTTGTTAATGTTGTATGTTACGTGCTGCAGAAGCTTTTCTGACTTAAGGTGGCTCAGTAAATTAATCAATTCTAGAAGGTCCATCCTGTCATTGCCCTGCTTATGTCTTGCAGACTAATAGCCATCGTCTCCTTTATTGAGTAGATCTATCCTGTGTTAGGTCTTCCTGTTCTCTGCTCCTTCAAACATGGTCTAACCTCATTCTCCTTTCCAGTGGGTCCTGTCTTGTAATATGCCCAAAGTACTATAAACTCAGTCATTTCATCTTGTAATGAATGTTCAGATTTTGTTTGATCTAAAATCCTTTTATTTGTCTTTTTGGAGATCCATGTCATGCATAAAACTACTTACCAAAACCACATTTAAGATAAATCTATTTCCTCCTATCATCTTTTTTCAGTGCCATTTAATAAATGAATTGACCCAACAACATAAAGAACAATTAATGAATACTGTTGTTTTCCAAATGGTGTACAGAATTTTATTCTGTTAAATTAAAATGAAAATTTTATGCAGATATTTTAAGGGAATATGGTGTTCAGTTTCATCCCAGATATCCCTAAATCTTATAGTCATCTCCTGAAGTGATAAACTGTATTGAGAAAGAATTATTTTCCCTGTTACCAACAGAGGAGTAGTGGGAACTATGGATGGTGCATCACCCTGATCTTCCCCATCCTGAACTCATCATAGCAGCACCTCCACTGCCATGGTTCTAAATGTTAATAGTTCAGATCTGAAGAGGGAAGCTGACATTTCAGTGTGCAAGAAGTGCTTCTCCCAAGTGCTGAATACAATGCACATTTCCCGTGTGCTATTTTTCTGAAGGGGAATTGTAACTCAGAAATAGTAGCAGTGGAAGGGAAACTGCAGTTTGCCCTTTAAACAAGGCATATGGATAATGAATGCATTTGTTTGTTTAACCCTTCCTTTCTTTTTAAAAGGACTCAAGGTGTCTATAGTTTGTAACTCCTTAGCACTTGAAGTTAAAGCTTTCTTACATGTCTTTATTAAAATGACAAATGACAGCTTCTCAAGGTGCTCCTCACCTTATAGATAAGTTGTGGTTTCCTCATGTTATTTGTTTTAAAGGAAATTCTTGGTTTTTTCCAAATGTCATTGGCAGTAGTAGGGTGACAGGTTCATGAACAAATACATACCATCCAGTCTGTGGTAAAGAATGTAGACTACTTTCAGTTCCATTCTGACAATCAGCAGAATGCTGTTGATATTTTGAATATTTGTGAGTGAGGCAGGATATAAAATCTTTGCAGTAAGTGCAGTTTTTCACCAAACTGATTGTTGTAGTTAAGCATGTGATAACTGCTGGATGCCTTGGAACCTGTTGGCTGTGTTGAGGAATGCATGAATGTGCTGAAAGACAAAATCTAAGACACCATATTTAACTATATTATTGCCAATTTGTATTTAACAGATATAGCTGCAAATAAAAGTGGACAGATTCCATATGGAGAACGAATAACTCTACGTCCAGAACCTAGTCATGAACGGCAAACCTTTTCAAAAGGTGGGTGTGTCTTTTGGAAAAAGATGTGCATTACTTTGGCATTTGACAGATTTAATTCTTAAATAATCATGTGTCATCAGGTCAGTTTTGACTTACTCCGACCCTTTTCAGGTAGAGAATACGTATTCAGAAGTGGTTTACTATTCCCTTCTCCAGGGGACATCCTGGGACTGTGCAGCTTGCCCAAGGTCACACAGTTTGGCTGTACTCACAGGAGGCACAGTGGGAAATCGAGGTCCCAACCTCTGGCTACACAGCGAGAGACCTAAAACACTGAGCTGTCCAGCCAGCTTATTCCTTGTCTAAAAGAAAATGCATTTCTCTCTTCTGTTTTAAAGTAATGTTGATGTAAATAGTTACCCTATCCTACCCTTCTAAACATTCCGTTATGGCAGCTTTAGATAGTATGTAGAATATGGTGGTTGAATTTAGAACTTCACCACTTCACATTACATTTGGTGTTTTCATGTCTGTTAGTGCTCCCTATAGTAAGCTCTACATGGAAAAAAGTGACACGTTCAATAGAGATGAGTTTAACATTCCCAATGTAATAATTGTCTTCTTGAAGTATTCTTATATGAGCATTAAAAAATGTAGTCCTTTGAAGAATTTCAGCCCATTTAATGACACTCTTTACTCCATCTTTTTTTATATTCTGCCATCATTTTTGTAGAACATCCACATCCAGGCCAACGAGATCGATACATTAAGGAAAGGGAAACATATTTTGAGCGACAAAATAATGCCAGTTCAGACCACAGAGATTTTAGGAGAGAGCGAGAACCATACAGGGACCGCATTTCTGGAGACCATGAACGAGAAAGATTTGAAAAAGAACGCTATGCACGAGAACGAGAAGACAGGTACACTGGAGGAATAGTTGGCTTTAAAAATGTGTCTTCATAAGAGTTGTTGCCTGGAGTTCTTAGGCTCTCAGTTTTGTTTGTAAGAGTCATCTTTGAACACGTTTATGCAGTGATCCTGTATCTATCAATATCTTTTAAATTTAACCCTTTAAATGAATAAAATGATGTTTGAGGTAATGGTAATTGTGATAATTGTACAAATGTGATAACATGGGCTTATGTAAAAATGGATGTGCTCAACAATAGGTTTTAAAAACCTCCTCACAGTTGTCTGGTGAGTAGAGGTCCACAAATATTGGTTGGCTAGGCAACTGTTGTGTCTAGCAGTAATCAAGCTTCGGCTTTCACTCAGTCTGCTCTCAAAGGGAGAATTAAGTATTGCTATATAGAAGAATCCCCGGAGATGTCTAAGAGCACTTAGTAGTGCCTCCTATTTCCCACCTACATGCTGCTATGTCATAGCACATCATAGCTTCATTCAGAAAGAGAGACACTTTGCTTCCCTGTGTTGCTAGTACTGTACCTTTTAAAATACCTTTTGAAACCTTCCTTGGTGCTTACCAGAATTAAATTTCTGATTGCCACTGGCAAATCTAGAGGATTCTGTTTTTATTGCTTCTGAGGATTTTTTGGGTGGAGAGGCGAGTTATGTATTTAAGTGTCTGTATTTGCTTCTCATTTTAAAACCCTAAAGTGGGGTGGGTGGGTATTCTGTGCCAACAAGTTGGAACTGACTTATAGCAACCCTAATAGGGCTTTTCTCCAGAGTCCTAATCTGTCACTCTATCCAGTACACCAAACTATAAATCCAGTGTTTTACAATGTGGTTTTACAAAGTGGTTTGCAATAAGCATATTTAAAAAACCGAAAGGTAGAAGAATAAAATAGTAGAACGATAAAATAGTGACATCCCTTGAAACAGTTCATTTTTGTATTTAAACTTATAAATTGGAAGGATGTGTTCAGTTGTAAAATTGCTGTGTTTGTCTTAAACTTCCTTTACCTCCTTGGAAATAAGGCAAGCTATACATGTTTCTAAATAAGCAAATTATAATAGCTTGTCAGTAAATTTTATCTGTATTGGATTATAGTAATTTGTTCTTTAATGCTATTCTGACTAAGTACTGCTTACTTTGGAACGTGTTGGGCTATATTTGAAAGGAAAAAGGAGGCAAGGTATGGAAGAACTGGATTCCCAGAAGCCAATCAGTATTTTAATAGATGGATATGTTGGTTGGGAAATGTATTCCAGAGTATATTCATAGGTATTCGGTATCAGTAAATGGGATTGGCCAAGAATTTTAGATGATCAGAGAACCTTGTGTATACTTGTGAATAAGGTATGTAATATTTCCCAAGTTCATGTGCCACATGTTGCCAAATGTTATCTCTGTTTGACAGGCCTTCTCCTTCAAGAACTCAGTCGTACCGTGGTGACAAAGACCATTCAAACTCAAGAAGGGGAGGATTTGAAAGACAGCCATATGAGAGGAAAACTGATCGTCCTCCCTATGATCATGGACCTTCCATGTATGGAGGTACAGTATTTAAATGTGGATAAAATTTTGAATATTAGGGGGTTAAGAGTGAAATTCCAAACTTGAACTTGACTGATCCAATTTATAGTGGATCCACCTTATATGGCTCCTTTTGGTAAAGGTACTGGGTGCTTATTTAATCTGCATGTGATGGTTTATAACGCAAGTGGATTGACATTTTCCAGGTTTGCACTGTGAAATATCTTGTACCTCTTTATATGCCTGTTTATATGCCTGTTTATATGCCTATACCTCTTTATATTCCTGTTGTACAGGCAGCCTCTTGCTTGTCCAACAGCAAACCAAAGATTTCACAGAACCACATAGGTTGATATGATGCTCTGCCCATTGAGCAACAGGAGCCTTACCTGGTTCAAACAAGATTGCTAATTATTATAAATCAAATCAAATTTTTCTAGGTAGGAAACAGAAATAATCTGCGAGGCACATTAGAGACAAAAGTAGAAATAGCTTGGGGAATTATGACAGTCATGGTACATTTTAATCTAATTTTCTTTTTCTTGTGTAAATCTCATGTTAAGGTGACCGAAGAAATTATCCTGAAGATAGAATGCCGATTTCTGCTCCATCAGTACCCAGACAACCACCGCCTGCCCCTCGTGTAGAGAGGAAACCAGAATCTAAAAATGTGGATGATATACTGAAGCCACCTGGCCGGGAGAGTAGGCCAGAGAGGGTGAGTAGTATGAGGCTAGCTTTCTATTCTTATGCAACAAAATCTGTAAAAGAGCAACACTTCACTGACACTTGTGTAGCATATAATTTCCTGAAGTGGATTCTTACCTTTGCAAAGTGTTTCATGAGCTGGAAGAAAGGATAAATAGATTAGTAGTCTAAATAGTTATTTGATAAGTATGGGTGCAGTTCTTTTATTCATGTACTAAGGGTCTGTACTAAGTCTGATCTCTCCTTTCCTTGTTTACTACTCAGTGAAGGTAGTATGGCAATAAAAATGATGAATAAGGGTTGCCATGGCAAGGGCAGAGCGAGAAGCAAGATATTAGTTGACAGTTCAAGGCCACTCCTCTAACCATCCAACATAGAGCCTAAGCTTTGCCACCTTGGTTCTGTGAGTGCCAGATTCAATAATGTCACAAAAATCTCTAAGCAGATGACTGGGTGTCCAAAAAACAAGTAACTGAATCCTTTGCCCTGGGATTCAGCTGAAACAATGAATTTCAGGCAAAGGACAAGAGCTCAAAATGAGAGTAGCTTGTGGATGTTATTTATTGTTCTTCATGGCCTCTGTGAACGCTCACAATTGGGTTTGTTCTGTGCCTGCGCAGATGATCTTGGAAATTTCTAGAGCTTAAATACATGTGATTAGTAGGATGTTTCCCCCGTGGAGCGCATGCTCCACCCTCCCAGCGTCCCCACAGTTCCTTTTTGCCGCCGCTTCGGTTGGACGTATTTCAGAATAATAAAGCGGGTACTTAAACCTAATCAGCTATTTTCATCATTTCTTTTATACTTTTCAATCATCTCTTTTATTAGACATTCCCCTATAAATTATCTGTTTTCTTTTTCAGTTTCCCATTCACTGTTTTCTTCTTTTCCCGCATGTTTTCTCCCCCTCCCCCAATCACCACGTTTCCCTTCATTTTTCCCCTACTTTCATGTCCCCCCAGGGCCTTTCAAGCAGTGCGTGCTCTGCACAAACAAGATCCCGCTTGGTCATGACCGTTGCCTCTTTTGCTTAGGGGGACAACACCAAATGCACTCCTGCCCCGAGTGCAAAAGGCCTACAAAGGCTTCGATCTTACCTTTGGGGAAGGTCTCTTAATCCAATCTCCATGGATCCAACAACATCTCCAAATCTGTATCCAGAACACCGAAAAACCACTTGTTCCATATCGAGCCTGACGACTCCACTACTTCAACCAATATCATCACTGTAATCTTTACTATTCTGAAGTCCTGACTGAACAGGCTTATTACGATGAACCAAGGAGAGTAAGATATGCCTCTTCACCAAGGTATTCACCCTCCATGTCTCCTTCACCACCACGACATCGGCACCGTTCAACCTCTGCTTACCCTACATCAACTCACCATACGTCGATCCCTGCAAAATCGGCCCTTAAATGTACTTTCCCAGTACCAGAACCTCAACGGCAACCCAAGCAAGCCAAGCACTCTCAACATCACACTTCTCTCCATGTTACTACCACCTACAAGGGGCATCCACCCCGACACTGAACAATGCCTGCTATCAGTGCCTACAACATATCAACCACCTCTACCATTACTACCATCAACATCGGCTACCAGACCACCACACCGATCATCTTCACAGTCATCACTTTCCTCTCAAGTTTCTACATCTGGCATGTCCCACGAATCATCCTCTAATCTTCCTACTCCTCCTTCTGATATTGGCGAGAACCAACATCAGAAGGATTTTAAATCTTATTCCCAGCTGGTTATGTGAATGGCAAAATCCTTACAGCTCGACAGCAAAGAGCCACCACCTCAGAAAAAAGATCTAGTCTTTGATGACCTGAATCAAGATAAAACACCACCTCTTAGTTTGAGTTCTATTCCAGCTATGTTCGACTTAGTTAAAGAATCATGGGACAACCCCCCTTCTTCACTTCAGATTTCACAGCGTGTAGAAAATCATTATAAAACTCACTGTCCAGACACAGCTTTCCTCTCTAAACATCCCACACCAAACTCTGTCATTGTAGAATCCAATCAATCAAGAGCACGCAACAAATCATCTGTCGCCCCTACCAACCGAGAAAGAAGGAAACTTGACATTCTCAGAAGACGGCTCTACTCCCTCACTTCATTTATTATAAGGGTCACTAATTATCAAGCCGCGAGACCACTGCCAGCTCTGGGATAGAATTTACCTATTCTTCAAGCTGCTCCAGGCACCACCAAAACAGAAGTCCTCAGTATACATACCAAAGCTTCCACTTTGACTAAACAACAAAGAATCACTGTCTGCCATACAGCAGACGCAGCCTCTAAAGCTATGTCCACTTCGATTGCCTTGAGGCTGCACGCCTGGCTAAGATCTGCAGGTATTTCAGATGACACTAGAATGAGGTTAGATCTTGGCCTTTTCAATGCCAAAACGGATGAGGTCATGGACAGTCTACATAAAATCCACAAAACCACACGCTCCTATTCCACCCAGCAAACTTACCAGTATCAGCGTCCTCAATTCCGAAGATAACCTTTCTTTCAACAGCAGTTTCAACCATACAAACAATTATATTGACCATTCAGACCACCAGTACCTGACAGATCTTACCCAGCTCCATCTACATCTACCATACCTTCCTTTCGACCTCAACAGCTACAAGCATGTCAACAGCCCTTTTGATGCCTACAGAAGAAGGGTAAGCAGTATCCATAGACCCCCTCTATCTACATTTCCAACCACACTCCATCCTTTCATCTTGGCTTGGTGCCGAATCACTAATGATCAGTGGGTTCTTTCCATTGTCCAAAACATTATACAGTGGTGCCCCACATAGCGACGATAATCCATTCCGAAAAAATTGTCGCTATACAGATTCGTCGCTATGCGGAACAAAGAAGCCCATAGGAACGCATTAAAACATGTTCTGCAAAAATCCTCCATCCGGCCGCCATTTTCGCTGCCCGGTAAGCGAGGAAAGGGCACGAAAACACTGTGGGCGGCCATTTTATTTACCCGGCGGCCATTTTGGAACCGCTGATCAGCTGTTTTTAAAATATTGCTATATGAAAATCGCTAAGCGAAACGCTTACCGATCATCACAAAGCGATGTTTTGCCATCTAAAACATCGCAATGCGATCGCTTTTGCGATCACAAAAACCTCATCGCTACGCGGATTCGTCGTTAAACGAATTGCTCGTTATGCGGCGCACCACTGTATTTCATTGAATTTTACCATACCCCCACCCTCTGGCACTGTTAGGACTACTCCATACTCATTAGCTCTCTTCAAAGAAGGTTCCCTTCTTCTCTAAAAGTAAGTCATACTCATAGTCTCTTCCCCTACATTGCATGAGGGATTTTACTCCAGATATTTTACAGTCCCCAAAAAAGATGGAGGACTGCCCTACTCTCGACCTCAGAAACCTTAATAAATTCATTCGACCCAAAAGCTTTTGAATGCTGACCCTCGAAACTATCATCCCTCTCCTTTCACAAGGAGACTGGTTTGTCGTCATCAACCTTCAAGATGCCTATTTCCACATCTCTGTCCATCCACTTCATCACAAATTCCTACGATTCCTATTCGACAATGTCTCATACCATTTCTGCTCTCTCCCATTCGGGCTTTCCATGGCACCGAGGACTTTTACCAAATGTATGGCACCAGTCGCAGCTTACCTTCAACTACAGAGTATCACCATTTTTCTGTACATAGATGACTGGTTAATAGTCCCTCCTTCTTACCACGACACAGTCAGAGCTACCGAACTAACTCTCAATACTCTTCAAGATCTAGGGCTCAAGGTAAACCTTACCAGATCCCATCTTGAGCCTTCACAGACCACCACCTGCATCAGGGCGTACTTCAAATCCCTTCGAGCCAGATCCTTTCTCCCCCAAGAGAGAATTACAAAAATAAAACAAGCCATTCAACCATTAGACCATGGACCATAAAGAAAGCTGACCACCAAAGAATTGATGCTTTTGAGTTGTGGTGCTGGAGGAGACTCTTGAGAGTCCCCTGGACTGCAAGGAGAACAAACCCATCAATTCTGAAGGAAATAAACCCAGAGTGCTCACTGGAAGAGCAGATCCTGAAGCTGAGGCTCCAATACTCTGGCCATCTCATACGAAGAGAAGACTTCCTAGAAAAGACCCTGATGTTAGGAAAGTGTGAAGGCAAGAGGAGAAGGGGATGACAGAGGACGAGATGGTTGGACAGTGTCATTGAAGCTACCAACATGAATTTGACCAAACTCTGGGAGGCAGTGGAAGACAGGAGGGCTTGGCATGCTCTGGTCCATGGGCTTACAAAGAGTTGGACATGACTTAATGACTGAGCAACAATAATCTGACTGTAGAGCTTCATTCCATGAGTGGTTAACCTAGCCATGTTTGTTGTCCAGCTGGCAGAGAAGACCTTTAACTTCAGGAAGGCTTTTAAAACAGAGGATCGTATATGTTTGCCTTTATAAAAATTGTTTTTAATTTGTTTTAATTTGTTTTTACTTAACAGTTTTAATATGTAATATTTTAATTATTTTAAATGTTGCAATTTGTTCTATTTTTAATTGAAGTTTTTAAGGCACTTAATGTTTTTTAAATATTTTGTAATCTGCCTTTACCTGAGAATGGGTTACTAATTTATAAGGTGGCTATAAATCTGGAATGACTGTATGACACATGAGAATGACAGACTATCTTGGGTCCCTTTATTAGGAAAACTGCAGGATATAAATGCAGTGAATAAATGATGGTTTCATTTCGTTAAGCCCTATCCAAGGGGCTGTATCTTGCCTGCATGTGGGTAGATTACTGTTTAGTATATCACGTCCTTATTATTCAGTTCAGTAGGCATCCAGTGTTTCACTTACTGTCTTTTTTTTTTTTAAATAGATTGTTATTATCATGCGAGGATTGCCAGGCAGTGGAAAGACCCATGTTGCTAAACTCATCAGGGTGAGTGGAAAAACATCAGATTTCCATATGTCTTCAGGTAATACCTACTCAGTTGCATCTTTCTCCCAAATGTTTCTATACATGATTTATTTTCCACATTCAAGCAGTAATTTGAGTTACCTTTTCTAATACTGTAAGGACAAGGTGAAAAGAGCATGTTCTCTTATTAATTGGAGAGGGATCTAGCTAGTGCTCACCTTATTCCAAGAAGAAGCATGTGAACAGTGCTGGCTCCACCCCTGGTGATGCCAGAAGCCACAGGGGTCTCCCAATAATGGGTCTATAGGGTCCAGGTTGTAATGATAACCAGATGCAACCTTTATTTCCCCAGATGGGCACACAAGAACAGAAATGAAGCTTTCAACTCCCTCTGTGAGATTCCTAGGGGTTTGAGTTCTCTCTAAGAATGTCCTTTTGAGAGGGGCCTCTGTTAATGACACAAGAGTCCCTGTGAATCCCAGCCTTGTAAAATGGGAGGGATGAGTCTCAGCCCTGATCTTTTTAATGACAGCCAATAGAGGCAGGTGGTGGGCACTGGGATCTACACCTTGTTCTTCCTGGAGACTCCTCTGTCTTTCTTGCTGGCATTTTCAGTGCCATTGTTGTACCTGGCACTGAAATGCCAGAGTTGCCCCTTCCTACCATCAGGCCCTTCCTCTGCCTAACTGCTGGCGTTCAGGGACCTCTGCTTAGGATTCCTCCTCCCTTCTTTGTTCCACCTCTCCCAAGGAGCAGAAGCGGGGTCTGCAGCCTTGACAATCTCCCACGAGGTTTCTTCCTCCTCTGAGGTTGCCACATTCTCCTCTGATCTTCTCAATAAAGCCCATGTGTGCCCCTGTTCCTCTCTTTTACTTTGGCTGCCTCTGTCGCCTCCTGTCAGAGGTGTTGCTCATCTGTTGGCTTCTCTGCGGACAATTGTCATCCCTCTCACCTGCCAGCCAGGAGTCTCCCGGGGCAGCAGAGTGAGGGAAGATGGCACAGCCAGGGTGCCAGTAGCAACCCTCCCCACCCCACAAAGCATTTGCACCAGAAATACAAATTGGTTTTCCTTTACATTTCTTTCCTAGGATAAAGAAGTAGAATGTGGAGGAGCTGCACCAAGAGTTCTCAGTTTGGATGACTATTTTATAATTGAAATAGAGAAAGAAGAAAGGGACCCTGATACAAAGAAAAGAGTGAAAAAGAAGGTACTTTTTGTGCTTGTTTCATTTGTTCGTTAAACGACTGTTACTGATTTCTCAAAACATTGTGGTCTTTTCAGTGCACAGTAAGGAGAAACATTGGGATGTCCTACTATGGACCTTAGCTAGAGCAGTTACCCCCAACCTGGTGCTCTCCAGATGTTTTGGAGTTCAGGTTCCAGTTGACCTCCTCAGCATAGCCAGTAGTCTGGAATGCTAGAAGTCGTTGCCCATAGCACTCTGGGGGACGAATAACTCTGACTGCAGCCATGGAAAAGACATTTTCCTTTATGACACAATTTTATCCGTATAGTACGGTTCCACAGACTCTTTGAAGTTAAAAGCGTGCTGCTTATATACTGCCCCATAGCGCTTCAAGCACTCTCTGGGCGGTTTACAAGTTAAGTATGCAGGCTACACATTGCCCCCCCCCCAGCAAGCTGGGTACTCATTTTACCAACCTCGGAAGGATAGAAGGCTGAGTCAACCTTGAGCCGGCTACCTGGGATTGAACCCCAGGTTGTGAGCACAGTTTTGGCTGCAGTACAGCGATTTAACCACTGCGCCACAAGGCACAACAAGTTAGTTGTAAGGGGCTTTTGTTATGTTTGCTTTTCCTCTCTGGTTCTGTTTTTTACTTTCATCAACTCTACTTTTCCATATATAAAGCAAATCAGTCCCTTTTAGCCTTTTAAAGATTTTTAAAATTATTTCTGAACTGAGTTTGTGTATCCCATATTACCTAAAAAATTTTTTTCCTAAGCCATTCCTTTCCACATCCCATTAAGTAGAGTTAAAGGAGGACACTCATGTGGTCCATAGTAGCCTTCTGGATCATATGTCTGAAGTTGGAGTCAAGGATATTGAATCCTAGTTCTTCTGTGCCCCTCTGATAAACACATACCAGGTTATGGTGCTCTAGGACTACTATTCAGTTCCTTCACACTTAGGCACATGCTTTGAGAGTCTTCCATGCTGTTTTTTTCATGCTGTTCGGTCCTCGCATGAAACAGCTGGGTGAATTCCATTAGTATACAAATAACATTAAGTTCACTCTCTCCTCTTGATCCAATCTCCTGAGAGCTCCTTCTTTTATTAATGTATTGCTGTTATGTTGCTGGCATATGTAATAACAGCAGCTAAAGTTAGGCTCTCCTGGAGATAACATGTTTTTTTTAAATTTTGCCTAATTGTCTCTTTTTCTGGATCAGGTTTTGGAGTATGAATATGAGGCTGATATGGAGGAGGTTTATCGCGCAAGCTTGTTTAAAACCTTCAAAAAGACTTTGGATGATGGTTTTTTCCCTTTCATCATTCTCGATGCCATTAATGACAAAGTACGGCACTTTGAGCAGTTCTGGAGTGCTGCAAAAACAAAAGGGTTTGAGGTAAACATTGAATAATCTCCATAGCTGTTAGTACATCTGAAACAAACTTTCAGTCCTTTTAAATGGCTGGACTGTAGTAGTCAAGCAACCAGATTTAGATACCTGTAATGCATAAAGATGCTGTTACTGGGAAGCCAAAGTACTTGCTGAGGTAAGACTCATGGTATTAGTGATAAGACAGAGTTTAGTGTCAGACTATATGCTTTACATGTGAAAGGTTTAGTCCTTGGTATTTCCAAATCTGGTTAAAAAATATTCTAGTTTGGCAATCCATTTCCTATCAGTACAAGCAACAAACAGTATTATTTCTTTCTTTTCATCTTCATTCATGTACAGCACTATTACTCAGTTTCCAAACTTACACCGGAAAACACTATTAGGACATGGGCCATGTGTTTTTGAGCACATTGTCTTTTCATTCTATGTTCTAGGTTTACTTGGCTGAAATAACTGCAGACAACCAGACTTGTTGCAAGAGGAATGTCCATGGACGCAAGCTCAAGGAAATCAGTAAGGTAAATGTGTTAAAATGTGGAGGTTTAAAGATCACCAAGTTTAGTTCTTTCAGGGCTAGCAAAATTAATTATCATTTGAGGGAAAAGCAAGCTTTCAGAGGAGCGAATTAAAGGGGAATTAGGAATGTGCCTATGCTTGTTGTATTCATTTCACAGCTAAAATACTTTGTAAGCTCCCATCATTTGTATCTCCAGTTATCATGTATCTCTGTAGTAGAGATATCTATAGTGGCATAATAATTAAGCAATCAACATTCATAAGATATTCAAAAAGTCTTATGTTGGATCTCTTATGCATATGCACCATAATTCTGATCCAGATGTAGTCATGAAAAGCTCAGATTTCTGATGAAAGACATAAATTTTTGAACAAATTATATGTTGTGGAAGTATCTTCAGATTCCATTTCCTGTTTACAGATGGCTGATCATTGGGAGACGGCACCCCGTCATATGATACGTTTAGACATTCGCTCTTTGCTACAAGATGCTGCTATTGAGGAGGTGAGGCTTGCAAGAAGCTAATTTATTCATATAGGCAATACCCATGGCTGAGGAAGATAAGTAAATGGTGGTTATTAAAGTCAGCACCAAATACTAATGTGTTGGATGATATGTTTCATTATTTAGTGCTATATTGGCTGAAATAAGTTGCCCATTGAATCAGTGGGAGCTTCAGCCAACTCCTCTGTAAGTTGTATTGATTCAAATGGGCTACTCTAGTTGTGACTTACTATGCTAAAAACAGGATTTCAGCATTAGATGAAAAATATGTCAGGTCTGAAAGAATCATGAACTTTTGAGTCTTTTACTGAAATCATGTCTAAATGTAATAGCTTAACTCTTATTACATAAGAGTGAACAATATGTTATAAGACATCTGAAGGGATGAGTGAACGTCTGAGTTTTATGAAAGAGATGACTTCATTCTGCTTCAATATGTGCCACATACTTTGCAGAGTAACATGCTTTACACATACACTGAACATGTGGATATAAACATAAAAGTATACATTTAGGAATACATACGTATATAGAAGGCATTCATCCGCTATGATTTTTTAGAAAATCTGACAGTAACAAATCATTGGAGAATGTATTGTTTATGATGTGTTCATGCTGTTTCATGTAGAAACAAAAATGTAGTTATATTATAATGTAATTGTGACGGGTATTAATTAATATGTATCAAGATAAAAAGCAATCTGCAAATTTCTCATCTGTTTTTGAAGTAGGAAATAAGGCCTGAAATATGTAATAGCTCTGTAGAGAAGAGAAATGCTTTTTCACAGGAAGTATCAGTGTCTCCAAAGCAGTACTTTAGATTTATAGGAAGCAGAAACAAACAAAAACAGTTTAATTGATAAACTGAACACTCATCTTTGCCTGCAACACTTTTTAAAAATGCTTATTTATGGAAGTAATTGCTGCGGCAGAATATAAGGATGAGGCATCTTCCCCTCTACACAAGTCTTCATTTTCTCTCTCTTTTACCAGACATTGGGTCATCATGGCTATCAAGACTTTGGATGCAGCAGCTCTAACCAACAATGTTTTGTTACATCCAAACCAGCCTCCAGGTTTCTTCTACCCATAAACCATTTTTCCCATGATCTCTTTCTCCATTTATCCCATCTTCTGTACTTTAAGTTCTTCCTTATGTGACTGAATATTCTAGATTTATCCACTGTATCTATTTTATGATTTCCCATTCCTTATTCTTTCACTTTAGAACTTCTGCCTTAGTTACCCTTTTGATCCAAGATATTCTCAGCATAGTACAATAAATCTGTATTTCAAATGTTCCTGTCTTTTTCATGGTAGCCTGGATTAACATGATCTGCACCTCTGGTATGGATCTTTTACTACATTTCTTGCATAGATTTTTACTGATTAACACGGATTTGTCTACCATTCATTTTCATATCATATCCATTAGTAACTTTGTACCATTTACATAAAGATCAAGATTATAGTCAGTTTTATCTGCATATCGAAGGTTATTTATAATCTGACCATTAACAAAAATGTTTTCATGTGAATCAACAAATCCTTCTCTAAAGACGTTCTCAAAGTACTGTACAAATTCAAAAGCAGTAGTGAGACTACATATTATTGTCAAATTACTCTTTATATCTCTATATATCCTTAGTCTCTGATCTTCAAGTTTTAGCAGCTTTTTGTTGCCTCATAACATGCCAACTATGAACATATCTATTGAATCAAGA